ATTTGTGGTGAGTGTCAATCAACTCTCGCCTGATTCACCAACACACGGTAACAGCCAGTTATATGAAACTAGCAGAGGGCGTCTAGCTGCAAACACGTTCAACCTTTTGAGCACAAAATAAGCACGTTTTGGAGCCTCTTGACGAACTGAACTGGCACTGAGTGGAGTTGGAGCCCGGGCTATAGTAACGCAAATTTCCAGACAAAAACGTAGGTGTTGAAATGTCCAGTCGCCGTGTGATTTCATACTTTTAAGATCAAATTCAGCGCATGAGAACAGAAGAAGCGGGTAACAAGCTGTTACCCGCCAAACCGGTGTTAAACCACGAACTGGACGCTCACCGCTCGGTGGCCTTTCTCATATGCAAGGGGAATGGGCCCGCAGCTGCAATAACATGCTCTTTTCCTCGCTCAAAAGCGCACGGGAACGGCTAGGGCACTGGTATCCAAGTGCCGTCTCCTGATCTATCCTCAAGATGCAGCATCTGCGTCGATGAGAGGGTCTCGCAGCGGAACATGTACCCATTGGCAGAGAACACCCAAAATGAGAGAGCGCAGACAAGTTGCGCGTTTGGCTGTGGTCAGGTGTGTGACTGAGTACGGCACCACTGGCGGAGTATGGAGAAGACAGTGGGTATCGCTACCTTTCAGTCCCGTTCCCGTGCACTTTTACCTGGAGGAAGTTGCCCTACTGCACGTGCGAACTCGTGGCTACTAGCTAGTAGCTAGCAGTCAGAGGGGGTCGGCATGGGCCTACATGCTCAGATCCCACTGGAATTCTGACAAGTTCACCCTCTTGTTGTCTCTACAATTGAATACCGAACATCTACCACACTTAGGAAGTTATATTAGGTTGTCCGGAAAGTTCTCAGCGTTTTGTGCACCTATTTTTTGTACATTCACTGCTGATTAAAAACTCATTCTGCCTTGCTTCTCAGTAGCACATCCTGTAGAGAATTTCTTGCGCTATCTGATGGTATAATTGCCGTTTCACCATTGCTTGATAAACCCCCTTTTTTCAAGATTTTTTCAAGCATGTGAAAAGAGCACTTCGGACGATTTTTTTCTTCGACTATAAATTGGGGCAATCCGCAATCGAAACAGCTCAACAAATTAACCAGGTGTGGGGGCCCAATAGTGCTAGAGAAAGCACTGTGCGGCAATGGCTCAACAAATTTCGTTCTGGAGATTTCAGCCTTGAAGATGAACCTCATAGCGGTCGACCTAAAGCAATATCTGACGAGGATTTTAGGGGGATTTGGAGGCTGACCCATCCCAAACAGTTCGAGAGATAGCAGAAGAGCTAGGCCTTGGCAAATCCACTGTTGCAGATGGTCTGGAACGCATTGGGAAGGTGAAAAAACTCGACAATTGGGTGCCCCACAATCGGAGTGACCGGCAGGAATCGGCACGTCTCGAGGTTCCTTCTGCATTGCTTTTGCGCAGCAGAAACGACCTGTTTTTGGGCCGAATTGTCACCTGTGATGAAAAATGGGTCATGTATGATAACAGGAGACGTTCCGGACAGGTTGGATTTCGACGAACCACCGAGGTAATTTTCAAAGCCGAACCCTCACGAAAAAAGATTCTGGTCACGGCTTGGTGGTCATCGGCTGGTGTGATAAAATCTATAACTTTATCACCAGGCCAAACCATCACAGCAGAACCCTACTGTGAAGAAATCGACGAATTGTACCGAAAATTTTGTCAGATGCAGCCAACACTTATCAAAAGAAAGGGTCCGATTCCTTTGCATGACAACGCCCGCCCACACGTTTCACAAATCACTATCCATAAATTGAACGAATTGGGGGTTGACGTTCCCTTACCCTAACACCGCCATATTCTTTAGACTTTCGCCAACCGACTATCACCGTTGCCTAACATTTAGTTCATGAACTCCCTTGGCTGAAATACTTGCATCAAATGCAGGCCCAAACCCGAGGCAAAAAAAGGCCTTAGTGGATGGATTTCGTGAATTTTCGACCACCCAGTTTTTTACTTTGATGGGATTTCTCGACTGCTGTCACATTGGCAAAAGTGTGCTGATTCGAATGGTGCTTATTTCGATTAATCCGATGAGTATTAAGAAAGTTATGATCGTTTAAAGTGAAACACCCAAAACGCTGAGAACTTTCCGGACAACCTAATAGTAGCCTTAGTTTTTCGTGGTCCTTTAATGCTCTCTGCACATTCAAACACGGCTTCAGAATGGGTGAGAAACCGGGTCTTGTTGTGCTGTTGCTTCCAAAGAAGAATAGCTACATTGGTCATTGCTTTGTGGGGTTATGTTACGCGACGTAGGGGCACCCTGTCGCCAGAGTAAGTGGCTTTGGCGCTCTAACAACGAGGAAGGAAGGCATGAGGCCATAGCGTTTTCGTCACAATGAATGAGGTAATTGTGTTCCGGGAGCCAAATAAATTTCCAGCTAAATATGAGATTTTGACCGAGCAATGAAATGGGTAGCCTCTCAGAACGTTGTCACTGTCTCTGCTTGTAACCAATGAAGTTTCTGCTAGATCTCGAAATTTAAATTGACGGTCTTGATCAGAGATACTCATTTTGGCTATGGTCTGATTTGGCACCAGTTTAGCGCCACAAGGTAACGTAACGAATAACATAGCAGAGGCAACAACGAGAGATATGCGTCATTCTTCCGGATAAGCTATTTTTCTTGGGAGCAACAGTACACAGTTCAGGTTCCTTGGCCACCATGGAGTGGTCCTGGAACGTACACAAAAGATCAAGAATGTACAACAACAATTTCACAAGAATTCAAACCATTGAGCACGCATGAGACTGATAGTGTATCCGCTAAGCTATCCAGGCCTATTCCGATTCCGCTCACAGGTTGTTTACATAATTGTCGAGCTTCGGTGTGCTTACCTCAGCAAACCTATACAACTTCGGCTCATAACTTTGTTTCTTTTGGCTCACAGAAAATGAGCACTTACTCATTCAGCATGGACGTTGTAGGGTCAACATAGGCCCTTCAATTTTGGTCACGATTTCGCTCAATAACCTTGCAGGGGCACTTAGAGGCAGTTGGCACGATAAACCCTCCCTCCCCCCCCCCAAGACGAGTAGGATTAATACGCCTGGCAGGACGGAATTCCGCGACCCTGAGCAGGCTGCATAGCGCCTTTCCCAAGGAAGGTGCCCTTATAAGGGCCCTATGAAGCTACAACATTACGACCCGAACGCCCGCCACGCCCGCCCGCCCACAAATGGACGACCGTTCCTGACGCTCGTACTGCTTCATTTGCTAAGCAAATTATGAAGCGAAGGGATTGGTATGAAGCGGCCGTGATGCTGCATGGATATATGAGTACACATATGCAGCCGTACCTTCGGTAGCGGTTATTGGCAAGATGCCTACGGGAAACTCGTCCAAAATCGATTTTCAAGTCACTGAGAACGGAGGCTTTTCTTCGGGATTTTGACCGTTTCACTCCGTTCTTTCGCCATTTCCCCACTATATAGCGCCCTACTGGCATTTTAGGCCTATCTTCAAATCATCGTGCGCCAACTGCCAGGGCCCAAAGTACTCCATGTGCAAAACAAGATTGTCATATCCCGACTAAAATTATAATATGATGGAGCCAATGCCCACCTCAGATCTAAGCCGTCCTTCGTGTAACGCAACCCAATAGTTGCGACATTTTGGATGATAAACAGTGCTCCGTTAAAGTCTGCGTGGGAAACTATCTGTCATGTTGACCAAGCTGTTATCGCGGAATGTGTCTTCACTGTTTTCTTTTCTGTGTAGCATCGTAAATTCCGATACTGCAAAACTAACGTAGCCTTCAGTAAGGTATAAAAATATTACGTGAAATTGCTTCGACATTGTGAGCTGCAGTACTTATAAACTTGAAATTTAGGGTACCGAGATTATGATGATTACAATACTACAACAACACCAGCGAGCAGAGAATACTCAGTGACAGGTTTTCGATATTGAACATCTATTCCAAGTATCATTTAGATTGATATATGCGGTTCTATGACAGCTAATTTTCTCAGGGTATCCCAAAATCAACGTAAGATTCGAGCAGAATAAAAAACAGTTGGTTTGCATTTTTTCACCTGCCTGAAGCACCCAGGACTGGCGAAGCACATCGGACAAATGATCACCACGGAGCAAATCATTGTTAGTGATTCCTCAACCGGGGGCGGGGGGACGTACTTGGTCGCTGGGGGAGCGGTGGGCCTGTTTGAGCTGAGCATTTTTTTCGATAATCGGTTTTTCTTGTTCCAGAAATGTGGGTGAGGGGTCGTATTTGCTCGTTGTTGGAAGGGAGGGTCGTATTTACCTTCTGGTCTTTCGAGAAAGATTGCTGACTTTTCATGGTTTTTCTGTTATTTTTTTCATTTTCTTTTTTTACAGTCCGTTTACACTACGTTTTTCCTGTTTTTCCCGTTTTCGTAAAAACTGGTAGGAAGTTGGGCAAATCTGTAAAATCTATGGTAGGTGGAGAAGAGAGAGAATCGTATTTTAATAGCGTTTTTTCTCCAATTCCCCATGTGGTATACCCCCCCCCTTCGCTCCCGCTCGGCAGCTCCGCGAGAAGGGGAAGCAGAAAAGAGTCCTATAAAGCGATCTTTCAGATCTGCCGGTTAACGTTGTTAGACTTTTCCCAACACAGTCCTTCCTTACTTTGATATTATCTTTTGAATGACTTGTTGATGGAGCATGTCCACCGTCCCGTTGCATGCATAGAGCCCGTTCAAGAACAAGCCATTTGAATGATGATACTATAAAAGCAGTGAGTGAGAGTGCTGATGAAAGTCTGACAGCAGACAGTCTAACATGGTGTCGCGGACGACGTGAATGCGCCAACAAAACTGTAGACGTCATTAGTCCGTGTGCAACGCCATACCAAACACAATTCTAAAAACTTCTGTCTCCAGTGAAAAAATACCATGAAATGCGTTTCATATTCAACTCAAATGCTATGGAAATTCTCAGAGACCCCATATTAAGTTCATCCACGTCATAAATGATCAAATATCGTGGAGGAAATGACTTTAGGAGGAGGACACGTTTAGGAACTGACGTGATCGACTACTCGAGGACAGTTTCACAGTCACATGGACCATTCACCAACGCCACACCAACTATAGAAATCGCCCCAACGACCACTGAATCAGCAACGGCAAAATCAACAGAACCTAGCCTACCGGTGGCTGACATTGAGAACACAGGATGCAAATGCAATCTGAAGACAGTCTGGCTGGATATTTTCCTTCTCATGGAAGCTAGCCTGTCCATGACTGAGAATGGAATTACTTCGGTAATCTGTATTCAGCTTCTGATTAGACTTCACATAGCTAGCGCACCCTAGAGAAATACGCTCATCGAGTCATACGCCCAACCCACATCGAGCAAACTGCACAATCGCCTCCGCGGACGGTACTTGCCATGTGCGAGGTACTCAGGTCAGCAGCTGTGGTAGCGTGCCACGTTCTCTACACAGAAGAACAGAGCACGGGACCAAGTGTAGTGACACCAGGGCTTCCTTGCCTGGGTGTAGTGTTATCCGGGTTCTTTCGGCACTATTCTCAAGAGGCGACATTTGGGTCGATACCAAAATCTCATAGCGAACACGTAGTCAGAGGTAGGGAACAATCGCAGTTAGGCGGGTGCAGACAAGTCGCACGTTTGCTTTTGTTTAGGAGTGTGGCTGGCCGTGTCGGAAAACGGCTCACGGGTGTCATTACCCTCTAGTCCCGTTCTCGTGCACTTCTGAATGGAGAAGGTGTCACGCCACTTAGCTGCGACACGCTCACCTCGCACATGCTACGGACCAGAATCCATGGAGATGAGTGTACATTTTGTCTTTAAAGGCAAAGCCCGCGATCAGTGGCTATCAGAGATAGTGCATTGGGTGTTTGATAAACGGCAAAGTACTGAGTAACCCGATAGTGAAGAAAAAAAAGCAGAAAAATTAATGCCAACTGTCTTGGATAGAGCCCCGTTCTGATCCCAGTACTGTCAAGTTAACTCCATCGCCAACGCTACCCCTCATTCCGCACAGCTAACTCTCCGATAAGAACTCTACGACCATTCAAGTGACAATTTTCATGCTTTTTGTCCTGCAGCTTCGTTTTCACTGAAAGGCGGGCCTTGAGGGGGGGGGAGGAGGGAAAAACTCACCCATGCGCGTATGCGGCGCGGTTTCTTCACGGCGCCGCGGCGGCAGGGCGGAGCGAAAGGCGATGGCCCGCGTCTCCGGCGCTGTGCTGGTAGTGGTAGGATATCACAGAAAAGTTGACTATCACGATAATTACTTACTTACTCATTACGATTTACTTCAGTGAATGGCAGAACTGGCGGCATAGTTCCCTTCGATTGTGAAAACGACGCAAGCAGCTTTTACACGAAAGTTCAAGCTGAGGTTTGGCAAATTGCCAACAGTTGGTTGTGACCTTATAACGCTATAACGTCACGTCCCATTCGAAGGGAATCATTCTGCCAGTTCCGCTGTTGACTGAAATAATACGCTCTGATTCTCGACTTTTCTGTATTCTCTGCTCACCATTACCACTAACTCACCTATGAGCGTTCACTATTTGTTCAATCCTCTTTTCTCTCCTCCTCCTTCCACATAATGGGGCATAAAAGGGGCTTCTGATTGAAGCACAGTGGCGGAGGCGCAAGCGATCACCCTTCGCCCGCCCGTCGCCGCGGTGCCGTGAAGAAACCGCGCCGCATACGCGCACGGGTGAGTTTGTACACGGAGCCTTGAGGGGGGAGTCAGGAGGCGGAGTCACCGGCGGAAAGGAGGCGTCAGCTGAACCTATATTGCGCTATAGCGCCCCTCTTTACAATTTTTGCTGCGAAACCGGTACAAAGTTGTTCGTCGTGGACCACACTACCCTCCGATGCCATATTTTCAACATTTATACCTGATCGCGGACTGTGCCTTTAAGAAATCGCATGAGTCATTCACCCGTAGTTAGGTTATATCGTATGATTTTTTTATTGAAAAATCGTAATAATCGTCATCCTTTATTTCAGGCGACAGACTACGTCGTATCAGCTTTAACAAAGCTGACCATAGGCCAAGCGGAGCAATTCCAAACCCGGTTCGGTGTTATTCGTTATGCCAGCAGTGTCGAACTTATCGCCGATCTCAACACCTTATACTTCGAAAGCAGACCTGTTCGACTTGAACATATCGGTGTTGAACGAAACCGGCACGAATATCGAGGGGTTAGTTAGGAATCCCGATAAGAGCTGTATTATGTTTCAGGGACTGAAATGAGCCGCGCTAGATATCCACCTCTCGATAATTTACAATTCCGACAAAAGAGTAAGCGAGCCCAAGTAATAATGGAAAACAGAGCATTTCAATGTTGTGAACTATCAGCGAAGAGCGCACCATCGTTGCATAAAATATAATGCGGGTGATACAAGACCGTGAAGGGAGAGAGCGTACTACGCAGGGGAACTGTTCTGATTGTTGGTTTCTTTCCGTTTCGCAAGCTCTATTTACTGCTTCTTCTCTTCCATAGAGTGAGTTCCATGCCGTCGTGTGGCCCGCTGTTCTTGTTGTTTTTCGACGCTCCTCGTGATCGCTCCCCCTGTACTTCGCAGTCCAGAGCTTACATTTTTGGCGCTCTCTTTAGGAACTGTCCTCACCATCGCAATGGCTGCCCTCGTGCCTTTATTTGGACAGATGTTGCCTACGCGCCCCGACGTCTTCTTTTCTTAGCTTATCCAGTCGCTCTAGCCACAGGCCCACCTTAGCATCCTCATTTCAGCAGAGTAAAATCGCCTTCTATGGTTTTTGCATATGTTCCAGCACTGTCTGCCATTGAGCATTGCAGACCTTACTACTGCCTAGTACCCCTTCTTGAGCGCCTTAGAGAACCGCCCCTAGCAAAGGATGCTAGTGCACTCCGTGCATTTCACTTAGACTTTTACTGTTTGGTTCACGCTACCCTCAGCTGCTAGACCACTCCCCAAATACCATGAGTCCTCTAACCTTACGATGGTTGCCATAGCTATCCACTAAGAGTTCAGTGCGTTAGGCTGCGTTTATACTTTGCGGCAGCGTAGCGTAGCGTAGCGTAGCGCTTCCAGCGTACGCCAGCGGCAGTGCCGAAGAGAGGATGCATATCGATCTAGCTTCACCAGCGTCACCAGCGGCACGCTGGCGTACGCTAGCGGCACGCTAGCGTACGCCAGCGTTTCTCCAGCGTTTCACCAGCGTTTTGCTAGCGTTTGCAGCGGCAGGGGAGTAGAGACTATGGGAGAGCTGGAGGGTACAAAACACATCGATTGCGCGTCTCCCACTCGCCCTTAGTCTCTACAATGCACATCGCTTCTGCGTCTCCGACGGCCCCATAGTCTCTACGAATGCACATCGCTTCTGCGTCTCCGACGCCCACATAGTCTCTACAATGCACATCGCTTCTGCGTCTCCGACGGCCACATGGTCTCTACAATACACGTCGATTCCGCGTCTCTCACGGCCACATAGTCTCTACTCCCTGCCGCTGCAAGCGCTAGCAAAACGCTGGTGAAACGCTGGCGTACGCTAGCGTGCCGCTAGCGTACGCCAGCGTGCCGCTGGTGACGCTGGTGAAGCTAGATCGATATGCATCCTCTCTTCGGCACTGCCGCTGGCGTACGCTGGAAGCGCTACGCTACGCTACGCTACGCAAAGTATAAACGCAGCCTTCTTCGGAACTCAAGGACTTGGTCTTGCCCACATTCAGCCGGAGACCATTTTCACTCAGCGCTTCTTGCAAATTTTGCACATTGATGAAATTCTTCTCCGCATATTCATATAGGGCAGTGCCGCCAGCATAGAAAACGATTTTCAGTGTTTCCATCGTACATGTCCCTCACTATGGAGACCACCTCTTCCGTTACGTTTCATTCTCTGAGCGATGTCCAAATTACAAGCCGGAGGAGGTGGTTGCACGTTTCATCAAGGTTCGGAAGGGGCAGGAAGCAAGGTTGCCTCTTCCTCTGATACCTCTTCATCACCTATTTAGCGATGAAAATCTTCGAGACCAGCACAATTTCCTTGCACTGACCAAGCGCTCGTAGAATCCATGGTAAATTTAATGCCAGGACGGTCTGAGCAATTAGTAGCGTCTCGGTTTTTTCCAAAGATGGGCACGACTGTACTGCCCCTCCGCGCTTCCGATGTCCTAGCGTCCCTGCTATGTCGCTCAAGAAGCGGGTTAAAGACCTTTCTTCATTTTCTCTGAATGCCTTGGATGCCGGAACTAATACACCATCTGGGCCACCGCCTTACCAAACTTATCCCAGCTACTTCTCGATGAACCTATCTTCTGTCCACAGTTTGATGGGAAGCCGTCACATCCGAGTGAGGCGGCCACTGCGGGGAAAATTCCATTTAGAAGAATCCTGAAGTAACTTCCCAATTTTGAAGTATGCTTCTCATCATCTCCTGTAGCAGCAGTGCGGTGAATGAACGCGTCATCGATAACGTTCTCAATTTCCAGAGCGATCCGCCTAGCAACATCGAAATTCTCGTCTTCAAGTCATCGTCGTGCTGCTCGCCCAGTCCTCATCATCGTTGGAAGCTCTTACAAGTTCGTTAGTTCGTTGAAGAATTATTTTACTGACGTGGTTCGCTGACTACACACTATTTCCCGATAATTAGAGGGCGTGGCTGCGCGCTTTATTTGCACATGGCGTAGGATGCGTTTTTCGTAAGAAATATTCCCTTAAAGAACCATTGCGGTCCGGTCTTTTGCTGGACAAAGACAAGAATTCCTGCTGCCTCCTAATCAGAAATATCCTATCAAAACGCATCGACGCCGCATTCTAATGAAGGACGCAGTCACGCAGTGTACTTTCATTCATTCCTATAGAAAGTGCCGGAAACTAGACGAAAAGACTGAGGAGGTCTGCAGTAGACTCCGGCACAAAAACACCTTAAGTCACAAACTCGTTCCGAAGTATTGGGCTGATCAAAAAGTGATTCTTTAGTAATGTTTGTAAGATAATCTTCTGCGTAAATGATGAAACATTCTCGGATATGGGTTGAGATCATTTGCAAGAAGCGAGGCTGAGAAGCGCTGACTCTTAAGATGTGAAGATTCTCGAAGATAGCGGGATGCGCGAATAGTCTCGTTGAGCGTCATTTTCACTCCACGGTAGAGGTCCAAGATGGAGCTGTGCGTAGGTTCCGCGTGCACTTGTTGTTCACTAATCCCACGCGCCGTACAATGCGATGCATATTGGGGAGTTTGCCGCTTTTAATTCCCCTGAACCGATTTGGAGCTCTCTCACTAGGGAAGTACGCCAACTTACCACGGAACTTTGGAGACCTGGGTAGATCGATAGTCTATAAGGCTACAAATTTAGGTAGCGAAACTGCAACCTGCACTTCACAAGCAACATGAGCAGGTGTTTGTAATGGTGCAGTAGGGTGGAGGCTTGGTGGTGAGCTGTGAAGCATAAGCGAAATCGCATACGTCGAATCGAGTCGTGGTGGTTCAGTGGTAAGGTTCGACGTTCGACGACTCGATTCGACGTATGCGATTCCTCGCTTATGCTTCACAGCTCACCACCAAGCCTCCACCCTACTGCACCATTACAAACTTTACCTGCATAAGTTGCTTGTGAAATGCAGGTTGCAGTTTTGCTATCTATATTTGTAAATAACCTTATAGACTCTATCGATCTACCCAGGTCTCCATTTGAAGTTCCATGGTAATTTGGCGGACTTCTCAGGAAGTCTCTTGATGAATCCAAGCCGCTAGCTTTTCCTGCTCGGCTGTAGTGCTAAGTCGTTCATCATATGATTGAGGCTCACAACATGCAACTATTTACTGGAGTGCACGTGAAGGGGTATTGTAACAAAATGACTAAGTTTCCATTACGCATGTCATCACAACGATCGCCCGAACTTCACCATGATAACACTTTCTGAGCAGGGTACAGCATGTTTGTGTGAAACACATGGGGGGGGGGTCGTATTTGGGTAAGACAAATTTATTTTGATAGTTGATTTTGTGGAAAAGTGGTGGGTCGTATTAATTTTTGTTTATATGCATTATATGCACTTTGTACGCCTGTCGGATATACGTTGCAGTAGTTATTATACTTTTCGCCGACTATATCTTATCGGCTCGTCGTCGCAGAAAAAGCCGCGTGGAGGTGAAGGGGGTCGTACCCACGCGGAAAAAATAGGGTGTATGACAAGAGGATCGTTATTCGCCGCGCTGGTGGGCGTCGCGTGCGACGTCGCGCCCGCAAATAACGATGGTTCCAGGTAGTAGATGGCGACAACAGGCAATTCAGAACCGAAAATAGCCATGAATGTCTACGATGACGGGGTCTACATGAAGTCCAGGGCTCCAATCGACAGGTAACAAGAGGTAAGAAAACGTCGCGCCCGCAAATAATGATAGTTCCAGGTAGTAGATGGCGACAACAGGCAATGCAGAACTGAAAATAGCCATGAATGTCTACGATGAAGGGGTCTACATGAAGTCCAGGGCTCCAATCGACAGGTTAACAAGAGTTAAGAAAACGCCGCGCCCATCGCCGCGCGCGGCGGAGCGGCAAATTACGATCCTCTTGGCCGTCTCCCGAAAAAATAGGGCGGGGAGGGGTCGTGGCCTGGACCCCATTCGGAGGGGGGGGTCGTACTCACACCGACATTTCGCCTATCCCCATGCTGTACCCTGTTTCTGAGCGGTCTCATTCTTCACAAATCCGCGGAAGAGGAACTTCAAGATATTTGGGACCCACTAGCAGTAATATAACCTCCGGAGGTCTTTCAATATGGTTGGTATCCCGCTCACGGAAACATGATAGTGCAGCTCGATCGTAAAGCCCTCGTTCACTCTGCAAAAAAAGTGACCTCCAAATCGACCGATTCCCTTCTCCCTAGTACTGCTTTGGAGGCTTATGAAGAGAAACCGAAGAGTATGAAAAGCACATACTGTACACTTTTTGACGTAAACTTTTCTACCTTGGGAGTGGGCTGCTAGCGGCGCGCCATCGATTCATCAGTTCGCGTACGATGCCCTATCTCTTATGGTTAGATCAGGGTAAGCATGTCAAATTTTAGTTGTTACTCAGGAACTATTTCAGCGGATTAAACAGAGTATTCGATAGGAAAAGTGCGCACATTCTGAAGAAACATTGTATATTGGATATGCTGATGGTGTTCGCGAAAACAAATGCGGCACTCCTGCTCTCAGGCATACGAGTACGGAAAACCCTTA